CCCATAGTAAAGACTTTCTCATGCGCGCGCGTCTCTCTGTAGTTGCAAAGGGACTTAGGCAAGCTCGAAAACAGCTGTGGTTACCACTGGAAAGGACGGTTATAATGCTTTTGAACGAGTAAGTACGTATTAATTCTGCATAAGCGCGTGTGAAGGTGTGTTATCTTTTGACTTTATTCAATTTCTCACTCGCTTGTGGACTATTTACGATGTACTTTCTTGTCTTCTTAATCTTTTTACGACACGTCTTTCATGAAGCAGACAGGAAGTCAATTTGGATGGTCTGGTCGAAGCCGTCGCTACAGTAGAAATGTTAATTGCTCTCGGGGAAGAGTTCGGAAACAATGATCCTGCGGCATTGCGATTCGCGATTCATACCATTTGTGTGCATTTCAGAGAAAAAATGCACCACGAGTGCTTTGGTGCGATGCAACAGGCAATAGATCGAGAGATATGGTACAATGTCCCCATTCCCGTAGAAGAATTTGGGGGTGTCACGGGCCTCATCAAAAACTACACGCAGCCCCTAGCTTGGCCATTTAAGAATGGTTTCGGTCGGCACGCCAAAGAACGGGTGCAGCGCAAAAGCGGTGGGGAAAGCAAGTCTCGATCGCAAAGCTTTTCAACTGGTTCGACTCCTCCAATCCTAGCTAGCTTTCCATCGAGTGGCAATCCATTTCTTATTCCGTCAACTTCCGAAGAATCGGCCTCCGACCCAACCTTGTATATACTCCCTTTTCCCGCGGACCTTTTAGATCCAATGGCTCCTGATGATATGGACAACAATGAAGAAGACCCACGAATGAGTCCTACGCTTCCAAGTGTCCCATCAAACACTGTCCAGTCACCCTTCCTTTGGACGATAACTCAAGCTTCGCTCAACGGATTCGCGAAACATGCGGGCCGATATTTCCAGCTTATGCAAGTTTACCCGATTACTGCCAGGGAGACTTATGATTCGTTGCTTCAGCTCCTTGACTTTTACGTATACATGGTTTTCGCTATTTTCGTACCTGAGCAGTCAGCAGAGCTACTTTTGAGTCAGTTCCCGCAATTGAATAAAGAGTCTAGCTTTGCAGAGGAGATGTCATGGGCAAGTCAAGATATTCATATCCCATTGCCGGTCGAGATGGAGCAGGAGACATCACATTTGAAGTCTTATCTCACAAGAGTCCATGATAATTTCATAGAAGAGGACTGCTGGGGACTAGGCATAGGCCTGGAAACGGCTGACAGGATTAGAAAGCTTGGTGCCGATACTGCGAAAAAAATAAATGCGATGGCGGCAGCCACTGGTGTACCTAATAATTTTACCATGTCAGCTGTGGCATCACGTGTTACAAGTCCACGTGCAGGAGTAAACCGTTTTTGTGAAGATAAATGGTGTGATATTCGGGAGCAGCATTCGGACACAGTCGGTGAGGATAGTGAAAGAGATGGCGAAAAAGATCGGGAATATTTCAGCGGTGCAAATGTCCAGCCGCGATTCAAAATCAGGTGAGAAGTTTAAATTTTTGGGTTGCAATGGAAGCTGGTGTTACGACAACTTTTTACTACATGACACAGGAAAGTGCGTTTTCAGAGACCTGCAAGCATTCAATTAGCTTTGGAAGACCCTCATTCATTACATGGTCTGTCGTATAGAGCTATCGCGGTAGAGTCTTGCTTCTTCCTGCTTGAAATCGTGAAAAAATTTAAGCCTTACTTTGTTGCTCTAATACAAGAGCATAATGACGATATTGATAGCCAAGAAGGTGGTGACCACCTTCAGTTTGTTGGAGAGGCAATTGCACAGCTTCGCACATTCATTTATCGATGTACAGCCCCTCGCCTAGTTCGTGCATCTTCGATAGTTCGATTGGTGGAATCGCAAGTGTGGCATCATAATGTCATTCGTGAAGAGGCCAATCCTTACACAGAGAGGATTTGCGTATTATGTCGTCGCATTTGGGAAAAGATCAGAGGACCCGAGGAACGTGGAAGTGCAAAATTAGATGGACTGGATAATATGTACATTCCTTCCGAAGCCAAAGTTCTGATCTGGACGGAGGTCGCTCAGTGTATCATGGGAACCTTACTAGAGGGTTTCTCGCGAATAGATACGTGTTCAACAGAAGGGCGTTCCCTCATGAGTATGGACCTTCAAGCCATACAGGTAGGATTGGACGAAATTCTGCGGGTGCGGCCGGCTCGTGGTAGAGCATATGTAGAAAACTATATCAAGGCCTTCTACTACGGGCAGGTCGATGTCATGAGCTGGGTCGAAAAAAACTACAAATTTTATCATTATAGACACATTGCGGGCCTCTTCGATGCTGCAATAGGCCAAAAACGAATTGTCCGAGTCTTTATGAATGAGACAGTACAGCTTTATCACTCACTAAGAACGGAGACCTCGGAAACTGAGAAAAGCAATGTATGATGTTGCTTTTCATGTGGTCTGGTCTGCCTTTGACTTCGAATCCGGGCTTATGCATTTCATCGAAGCTGATATGTTCCGATGCGAATTTTTGATGAGCCCAAGCACAACACATTCGGACTGAAGAAATTAGGGTGCAGTGTGTCAAAGACTTCAAGGGAGAGGAGTAATCCTTTGACAGATCTTATTTTTTCGTTGTTGCAAGAAATTGAGTACATAGAATGCGGGTGTACACCGAGAGAAAGCAAACTTTTGGCGGTTTGATTTCAAATGTGTCTCCTTTAAATTCTTGCCTTAGTCTACAGATATCGGATCCGATGAGATGGAAAAAATTTTTTTTAACGCTGCACAGGCGGAAACAGAGTTTATGTTCCCTCCCGTCTCAAAGCCATTTTTCGTGTAGAGTCATCCATGAAACATGCATATTTCTCTTGTACCATGCATACATAAGTAAACCTGGCAGAAGACGATCCAGGCATTCGAATTGGCTACCCGAACCCAGCACATTAAAAGATGAAGCAGCGAATTTAACTTTCACTCTGAGAGTAACTATCCAAGCAGTAATTGTGTGAGAGCGTGACATGTTGATATTCTGCTTTCTGTATTGTACACACGGTTTTCTTCATCTTTTACATATGGGTAGAAATATGTGGACAACGTTTTTAACCTAATGAACGAGTTCCTTGCCTTCACACCTGTATGACTGGATGGTTGATACCCCGAAATGTGGTCCCGTTACCGCTGAAAAGCCTCAAATAATTGCCTAAACTTCCCGCAACTCGTCCCCACGCTTGCAAGAGGCCATCTCTCCGCCGAACTTGTTCCAGAAGCCGTTTGATTTCAACATGAGCGCGTCTATTTTTATTTTCGAGAACTTCAACACGCTCCTGTAAAAATCTGACTTCTTCAAATGCAAGCTCATCTCTTGGCAAAGAAAATTTAGCTTCATATTCTGAATGTCTTCCTCCACTCCCCCTGACACCGTCCATCTCACAGTGTAGGTGATCATGAAAAATGCTCGAGCTCGTCTTCCCCTTCTCTTGTTCATGCTCCTTGAGCTCCATCACCAATAGCTGCTTCTCTTTCTGCAAGTGATCGACCTCTTCACCAAGACGCCTCCGATCCGCTTGTAGTTGTTGTACCAAGGCTTTCCAGTCGTCTAGTCTTTCAAGACGATGCTTTTGTAATTGTTGTCGCTTTAATTCTTCGAGCTCGCTTTTCCTAAAATCAAGTTCATCTTCCATCTGGGCTTGCCGAATATCACTTTCCTTCACGACAGACTTCATGGCTTTGAGCTTCGCATTTAGCGCAAAAATGCGTTCCTCGTATTCGAGCTTAGTGTTCTTCAAGTGTTCGAGTATTTTTACTAATGCCTCCTGTGATGACTTGTGATAAAAGTAATTCCGGGGAAGACTTGAGCTTTTTGAGAGAAAACACAATCAAACGTTTGAGCCAGCCAGCGTAAATCTCACCTCCTGCGATCCCGCAAACATCGCAAAAAATCGCGATTCTAAGGTTGTAATGAATTAATGTTACGGAGACCGCAAGGGAAGGATTGGCGACGTAACCTGTGTAGGAGAGGGAACAGGATTACAAGACCAAGTCTGAGGAGAGCTACATGGGTTGACGGAGAGGCATCCGTTTTATCTTAGAAATTTTGCCAGAAAGATCTCATACCACAACACCAGCTAAGCAGTCTTAGTGACCGCTGAGCGGATCATGTTAAAATATCAGGACAGGTAAGCGTAAAACCTCAGTAGTAAGTAAACTAATGGTATTACAGGGCGACGGGCACATTCAACAGAGTTTCTTCCCTACGCTCTAAACGATAAAGTGAAATGCCATGAAACTTTAAGCTGCTGATGAGCACGGAGTCGTGGTGCAACGCGCTCGCAAAAGTGAGAATGAGGGAAAGAAAAGGGGGGGGAAGGAGTGCGGCATGAAGAAGGCCTTCAATTCTGGAAACAACGAACGAGAACGCAGTCTGAGCGATCTGTCAAGAAGGAAGCAGCGATTGGCTCTGAAACTGAACGCTAACATAAAAAAGGAACTATAATGCATGATAGCAACCCAAACACAAGCAGCTGGATAACGATGGAATAAGAAACACGTTAGAATCATTCCTGACCACAGAAAAGAGACCATTGTTCGTTACGTACAGCGTGCACTTTCTGAAGTCTTAGTAGAGCACGTCGGCCGTGGCGGGAGCCTTGTTCGAAACGCCCCTTGAGGCTTGCTCGCCTCTGCCTTGCGTCATAAAGGGCCGACAACTCCTCAGGATACCAGGCTATTCTTTATTTGTAAAGGATAAATTCTTTGGTTGTAGCCGTGACTACTGCATCGCTTTTTATGCCGTTAAATTCCCCATTAATCGTGGCCCGTGCTGCTGTGGCAGTGGCCCATGCCCTCAAGATACTTTATCCAGACTACATGAGCCTTAGAGGGTGTGAGAAATGAAACAGCACTAATTATCAAATTAGAAGTGACTTGACAACAATACTCGCAGAGAGATTTAGTCCAGGCCTTGGATCTGTCATGGACTCAGTCAAAAAGCAATTTTCACCCCGAAGCGCTTTTGTATTTACGCATAAATAGTTCGATAATACAATATTTACAACATGCCTTCTTTTCCAATTTGACTCGAGCTCTTTGCCTGAGCCAGCCTATCGAGGCCCGTCGCACGTACAATGAATGTACTCAGTATCTATTGACAAACATATCTTCAGACTGGCTGGTCCTCATTGTCACTCAAAAGACGCTTGTGGTCAGGAAGTAATGAAAGATGACTTGCATACTTTGAAGGCGCTGGTGCTCCTCACCTTTTCCAACTGCTGGACCGCTAGCCACTTCGACTGAGTCGCCCCAATGGAGCTCATTGCATGGCAAAAAGGTCTTGCTGCATATTGTAGCCAATTTCTCAGTATTGAGACGGTTAGACTCATGATACTTCAATACTTCGCGGAAAAAAGAAATTAGGTAGACGAAAATATTGTAGTTCAAGGGTGGTAGCAGTTCCAAGAAGCGTCTTGTCCAAGGCCGTAATATTTGAGCATCAATTTCGACAGAAGGAAGGAGATTTCTCGGAATCACAGGACTGGCAAGCGACGTGAGAAAGCTTAGGAGGACTTCTGTGAGAGAATGCACGGAAACGTTCTCTTCCAATTCTTCGCCCGTGTCGAGAGCCTCCCGCACAGCTTCAACTTCAGTCAAAACACCCGGTTGGATAAAGAGGTCTTTTTCCGTGAGACCTCGACGGTAAAGAGCATCGACTAACCGCCAAAGCTCTTTTGGTACAGAGAGTGTTGGACCTCCAACCGATGTAGGTGGCAGATGGGGCTTGTCTGCGGTCGAAGTGCTCGACTGGAACTGGGACCACTTTGCTGCAGTGAGGGGAAGAAAGCGAACAGGCCCGTGGCAACTGGCGAGATCCTCTAGATCCATCCCAAAAGCTGATCGAGCGTACGTGCCACCAACGCTTAAGAAAAAGTCTTGACCGTTCTCGAGGCGTAGAATTAAAATGTCATCCAGCAAGTCACGTCCTGTGTTGAGCATCTTAGCCGTTTTAAGGTCTATTAAAATTTTAAAATTTATTTGGCCAACCTCATTGGGTAGCAACATTCCGAAGCGAGGCTGGATGCTGAGCCAACTTTTGCAGATAGTCTCCTCCTCAAGTTTGGGAACAAAACGGAAGTGAGCTGCTACATTTGACACGTTGGTAATTGTAAGAGCTTGCCTGCATTCCACGCCGTATCTTACAGGACCAAAATCAATTGTGTTCAGTGGTCGCGGAGAACCTAATGTGCTGTTGTCAAATACCTCAAGGGTCACTTTGGGGTGTTGGTCATTTTCCACTTTGTCCAAAAGGCGGTGAATCTCGGCGGCCACTTCTTGTCGCTGTGCTTTCACAACCATGCGAACTTTGGTCAGCAGCTGCGCTGCCACCGGCTTGTGGTCTGAGAGGCCAAGCTCCGCCCGCCCGTATGATAGGCATCGCACTTGCCCAGGCTCTTTGGCCCGCCAGAGGATACGATCGCACCAGGCTGGGCAACGCAATTTTTTCTCCGGTCGCCGCTCATATGAGGAAGTGCCCGGCTGATACTTGTAGGTAGGGAGGAAATTTAACGGCGACTCACTGAATCCGGAGAAGACACGGCCCTGGATTCGTTCCATATTGAGCTGATCGTAGCGCTGCAGAAAATCAAGATCATGTGCCTTTAGTTTGGCGAAACACTCTTCCGTGTCCACAGATTCGTCTAGCCGGTAATTTAAATCACCCATAAAGAACACAACGTCATGATCTAAGATCGAAATGCCAGTCTGTAAAGTAGACTCTACGTCAAGCACTTCCGAGAAGTACTTCCGAGTCTCCTCGGTGACATCACCTTGACCCGTTACGGGTGTATCTGCCTCGCTACTCAGCGCCTTGTCGACAAAAATCGTCTTTTGCAGAATGTTAGTAAAATCACTATTTCTGCCTTCAACGTTTTCTCTGTGCGCTGCCAGGTGCGCACACACAAAACATAAATATGAATCATAGAACTTGAGACGCATGGAAACGCCACCTTTGTTGCCCGCCATTCCCATCAAACCAACGCCCACAGAGGCCCCGTAAACTTCACGAACTTTTTTCGAATGCACCCCCTTGACGAAGACAAGAAGGAGAATGCCCACCAAATGCCTTTCTGCCACCAGCACATAACGCTCTTCGCGCCTCTTATTGTTAAGTACAGCATCAAGTTTATCTTGCCAGGCCTGCGCTCTTTGCTGAGACTTGCCATCCATGGCTACATTCACCGCGTTCAAATCCACGACCTCTTGAAAACCAACTGCAAATATGTCTGCCAACTCTCCTGCATCTGGAAAAAGCCATTCTTCTAACCGCTGAATTTCCTCGTCGGCGATGATCTTTGCATTTACATTGTAGGTTCCACAAAAGACAGTTACAGTTCGATATTCGGTAAACTCCAGCTCTCGCTTCTTGAGCTGTCTGTCAATCCAGTGCTGACGTATAATTGACACTGCTGCAGGGTCGAATTCAACATCTTTTCCCATCTCTGCTGCGGCAGTTTGTAGAGATGTCATATTGATGTAACCAGCCCTAGAGAGAAGATATTGGGCAAATTACTATGAGAATGGATGCCTTTCCGCCATGCAATTAAAAGCAAGGAAGGTCTTGCGAAGGAGTGGCAAGGCGAGAAAAAAATATGCATTGACCATGATCATCAATAACGAGGTGGGCTGATCAAAAAATAAGTTTCCACCAATCGCAATCAATGCTGAAGTAGGCTTAATGCTGCCAGTGGGTGGGTGTACTATATGAGCAGTTCTCGTCTTCCCTAAGAATTCTGAAAGAAAACGCTTACAGGAGACAAATGGGCCTTGTTGCTAGCTTTCATGCACAACTTACGCGAGTAAATAACAGTATAGACATTGGCTCAACCCGCTCGAATGATACTCACGGGCGAAATGTGGATTCAGGAGCGTGCCGGGAAGTAAGTAAGGTCGCGTCGTAAAGCAAAGGGAGCTTGAAGGGAAAGGGGCGGAAACGGTCATGGCGCTGGCACGTTCTGGGCCCGCCCTTCCCGAGTTTGTGGCAGCCATGCCCTCGCCCCTCACCCACTACCACGCTTCCCACGTTCACTTCCTCCTTCCGCTTCCCCGTACTCATGTGGCCGACCAGCAAGCTATTGGGGAGCAGTGTGGGAGTATAGCTGCTGCGAGCGTGACAAGAGGTCGTAATTCAATTCGGGGGCTGCCTCGTGGCTCGCTCCGCTCCCTCGTGGCTGCAGGAGCGAGGTTGCACATTGCCCGACAGTGACGACTGTCTGTGCATTTCCTGTGAAGTCATGTAGTCCAAACCTGCACATAACTGATACCACAATTGGAAGGCACACATTACCTTTTCCATACTGAGAAGAAGTTCCTAAATGTGTCGCTAGAATGTGTTGATGCGGGTCCAACACGCCACCACAACTGATCTTTTCAGCCACTCCTTGTGAATGCTCACCAAGCTTGCCTTGCGTGTTTCGGCTCGTCCTTTCAAACGAAGAACTTGACCATTTGACTCACTCATATCGACCATGTCTCTTTATATATCTACAGGGAGTGGTGTCAGATTTAATTGACCATGCGCTCAGCTAGCATATTAGTATCCTTACCACTGGTGATCCCACAGGTGTTGGCTGGCTTTTTGGGAGGTGAGCATCTATTTACGACCGTCATTAAGAGGGTTCAGTTACGGTATAACATTCATGGCCCGAGAGCGCGGCGTGGAAAAAAGGGATGACTTTGTCACTTTCCCAGGATATGAAGCCCCTTCGGCCAATTTACAAATGTGACATGGATACACAAGACTTCGTGCGTTTAAGTATCTTACTTTTTCCCGCTTCTCTCTCCATATATTTCAGCCGGCCGCGACCAACAAGCGTTCATAGTGGGTTGCATCAAGCAGCGGCCTCATTTTCTGTCAGTTTCCTCCTGTAACCACCCGAAAAAGATCCATTGCATCACGGTTGAGGGCCGCAATACCCGGCGCAGGTCGCAGATCTGGCCACTTTGGACGGGCGAGGGGGCTGGAGTAAGCGAGCTAGCCACTCCTGTGGCGGAGCTGACGATAGAAAGCCAAGCTCCCGAGCCAGAGAGTGATGGCAGTGCAACGTTAAAAGATGAGAAGAAGCCTCGTGAGAAGCGTGTGCCCCTCGCTGACTTGACCGCAGGCGCGGAGTTTACGGGCAAGGTCAAGGGTATCAAAGACTTTGGAATATTTGTGGACATCGGCGCAGAGAGCGATGGGCTGGTGCATATTTCACAAATGTCTTCGACCTTCGTTTCAAGCCCGTCAGATCTCGCTGCAGTGGGTGACTCCGTGACTGTACGCGTGCTAAGTGTGGATGCGGACAAGCGCCAAATCGCCCTCACTATGAAAACTGAGGCCGAGGCAAATGCTCCGCGTCCTACCAAACGCACATCGAAGAGGCGTCCAGCGGATCGGGACGATGCAGATCCATCAGACGAGGAGGACGATCAAGGTGATGGCGATGCCTTGCGTGACGCACCAGTGGGAGACAAGGACGTCAGCGCTTTCGAACATTATGACCCCAAGAAATTTCTTAGCGGGACTGTTGCTTCGGTACAAGCTTATGGGGCCTTCATCCGGCTGGATGATGCCGACCTCGACGGTCTGCTGCCCACAGGAGACATGGACGGCAAGCTGGAGTCTGGCCAGCGTGTGCAGGTGCGGATCACGGACGTTGACACAGAGCGCAATCGCATCACGCTTTCCAATTTGCCGCTGCTCCGTGGCAAGCGAACGCGTTTTGCCTTGAATAAAGAGGAAAATGATGAGCTGGCGGTCATTGCCGCCCGGTCGGGGCTTTACGCGTCGGAGCTGCCTGACGTGTTCGAGGGCCCTGATGACGACGCAGACTGGGAGGCGGCTTTTGCGTTCAAAGGTTTTGAAGATGGGGGAGATGGAATGGCAGAGGAAGAGGTCGGCGGTCCCGAGGCTCTTTTTGGTGAAGAACCGGAGGAGGATGATGAGGAGTTCAGCATGAGCTCCATCAACGCCTTCCGCAGCCCAGCTTACAAAAAAGAAAAGGGCTTGATGGCGGAAGACGAGGAGGAGGCGGACGAGGGTTTTAAATACGGTGGCGAGGCGTATTTTCCCGAGGACGACGAAGCTGATGACGCGATTTCTGGCACATTCACAAAGCAATACGATACGCAAATCCCACAGCTTAGCGAGGACGAGCTGAAGGCCTTGATTCGAAAGGCGCAGGGTACGCGCCGGAACGTAACCGAAGAATGGGCTGAGGAGGAGGCGGAGGAGCGAGAGTACCTGACCGTGAGCATGGTTCCGTCCAAGAGGAAGAACACGGCATTGATGATGAAACAAGTGGTGCCAACTCAGTCTGATGCCATACTTGCCAAGCCACGCATGCCCATCTATTTTTCTAAGAAGCTATCAGCTGTGCAGCAAGTGGAGCTCATGGAAGAATTGGAAAGACTGGTCAACGACGACCCCTTAGCTCTTGTGAAATAAGCTGCTAAGCTGCTCAGGAATGGTCTTCGAACATCTCGTCCGCCGATGGAGTTAGACAAAGTGGATGGCGTGCTTTGTCGGGAGTGGAGAGGACATTCGCATGCGGAAGCAGGGGTGCGACGGTCGCAGTACTGAGTAAGGCGCCGTTATGGGATGAGATGTGCAACTGCATAACGAAAGGGAAAATAAGGGAGGATTCAGGGGGAAAGGAATATATGTCCTGTCGGGGGAGGAGAACGCACACATTCTTTATACATACGCATCTAGTATCGACGAACATCAATCCACACGAACACATTATACGGGTGCTTGGATTCTACGAGCATAAAAATGTGAGCGAGCGCAGATGACATACAAAGGGGGTGCTTGAGGTTCTGCTTGACGAAAGCGCATGCCAGACCTCATAGATTTAAAGAAGAAAGCATCAGAAGACAGCGTTGCTATTTAAGTACCTAGCTTTTGAGCCTCATGGCATCTAACATTTGACAGCATGCACTGTGGTCCGCTTATTCTTCTCTTAAGACTACTACATATTGTCTCTCACCTCGGGCTTTGAACAAGCTCTGCAAGTGCGCTTTACACCCTACGTCATATCTATACCCTGACTCGACAAAACTTCACTGTACCCCAAAGTTTCCAATTCTTCCAAAAACTACTCAAAGCAAGTGGAGCGGTGCTGTGCTGCATATTTTGGCGTAGCCTGGATGTACATACAGGCGGTGCGGATTGAAGACACATTCTTTTACAACTGATAAGACTTTTTGAAAGAAGGGAAAAAAAGGGATGGTGATACCCAAGGCAGAGAGAGGAAGCCAACATCTCGTGTATTTTCTTCAGCGTGCGTATCCTTTTCTCGAAAATGAATACCTTTTAAATACACTGAAAAGCAGTATACTTTACCTTGTTCAACCAATTTGGCTTTAGCAGGAGTAAAATGCGCAATAATGCCGAAAATTCATCGTATTCCTTTAATTGGAGTTTAAGCTTTTTTCTTGCAGAAAATTATTAGCAAGATATTCTAGCTCAGCTTAATATTGAGTGAGTATCCCCTACGAACACTGCAAGGATGTGCTCTACAAGCTGATTCACGGTGCTGTCGGGGAAGAAAGGCGTCCCCAGAGCAGGATGTAAAATATTTCACGAATGAAGCCGCAGCCATGGCGTCGGAGACACGACAGCAGAGCAGTAGAAAATGTTACAATCCATTCTTTGTTTCTTAAAACAAAATTGCTTCCTTGTTACCGCCTCTTTGAACAAGGCCGTCTACGGAACGTACCCATTCTGTCTCGGCACCCCGCGGGGGAGGATACTTAGCGGGGGCGAGCAGCGAGCGAGTACGTATCTAAGTTGCCGTGCTGCTCTAGCCGTCCAGTGGCAGAGACGCACGACTTTAATTTTCTCATGCGGGTCTTCTCAAGGTCAATACTTAAATTTTGGCACCTTCTTGAATATTCTGTCGCAGGTGACACCCTTATTCTACATACGAAACGTTCGGAAAGCCTTAATTCAGAGAAGCCCCCAGATAGAGGAGCACAGTCATGATGCTGCGGCATCGCAGCTCCATGGCCCCAGTCGCAGCGTCTTTATGGCCAATATTAGTCTTTTGCAGTCTGATTCAACTGCAATCAAGCATGAGAGTTGTAGAGGCTTTTCTGGCGCGGAATTTTTTTTCAGTATCAAATAAAGCAGTCGTTGGTATCACGATGCCTCGGTTGACAAGCACTCCATTGCATCAAAATAGGCTCTTATGCCGCATGGTGCTGGGGGAGACAACAGCTTCTGCAACTCACATGAATGTGGTACCTCAAGTAGCAGACAATATATCACCAACTGTACAAGATCCACAACGGCAGAATGGACAACCCCAGCAGCATCACCACAAACACCAACACCAGCCGAAGCCGCCAGAGCAGTCGCACAGGCAGCGGCGGAAAGCAAAAGAAGAGCGAAGGAAAGTAGCCGGCCTCACGACCGTGGGGACAAAGAAGGGCCATGAGCAGCCATATGGAACGTCGCGGATGCATTCGAGCACGAAGTATCACCAGCGTAAAGGCCTTGT